CTCAATGTCTTTGGTGCTTTTATGCATTCCGTCGTTCTCGATGTTTTTAGGTGTCCTCAGTGTCTTGTAGCTTCAGTGTTCTAATGTCTTCGATATTCTCAGTGTCTTCGTGTTTCAGTGTCTCTGGTGTTTTTACTACTAAGTGTCTTCGTTTTTCTCGATTTCTCCACGTTTCAGCGTCTCTGGTGTTTTCACTGCATAGTGTCTACGGTGTCCTAATGTCTTTATTGTTTTTGGTGTCGATAATGTCTCGGTGCCTACGGTGTCTTTAATACTTTGGTGTCTTGATGTCTCTGAGGTTCTATTGTCCTTGGTATTCTTAGTCTCCATGGTGTTCCGATGTCCTAGTGTCCTCAGCTTACTATATAAAGCGATGTTATCTTCAGATTCTATTCATTCATCCACTCGACCCAACAGCTATCACTACAACAAACTCTTATACCAATACATATCATCTTTGGTAAATATTTCGTTTAGTCAGGGTTTCATTCTTTTTTGGACACTACTCCTTTTCATTCTTTGGGGAACTTATCCATACTAAATTCAGAATAAAATTGGGGTTTGAATAGTGTCTTTGTTTTTTTTATCTTTAATTCTTCGTAATCGTTGGTGTTGGGGTAGAAACGTATCTCAATATGCTATGAAGAAGGTATTGCCCAGTGGCGATAGAAGTCCTTCTGGCCATGAAGATATGACTGCATATGGTCATCTTCGTGCCAATAGATTACATCTCTTCATCAGGCCCATCTCTTCGCTGCACAACATATACATAGCTATACTAGTCAGCTTTATTAGTTTTTCTTCTATTTCCATCTCTAACAACACCATCCTGATTTAAGAATCTACAACTTTTCTATACCACTGGAAAATATCTTTCTTTCACTCTTTCCTTTCGATTCAACACTTACCACAACAAAATGATCTGTTAACCGTTTTATACAAACGTTTCAGCGATCTTACAGTGATTCTTGTGTTCGAATCTTTCCTTTCTTATAAATCTCTTCACACACACATTCCAAACTTACCTGATAAGTCCCTTAAGCAAGGACGAAACACGTCGTAAGTGCTTGGAATTCCGTCTGTTACTCTATCTTCATCTAACTTCTCTCGGCTCTTAGCCGAGTCGAAACACGTGTCTTGGTAGCTGATCTCATACTGCCATATAGAATAACTATCATTAGAGTTTAGTTTATATCTATAGCTAAACTTCTGACAGTATAGTTAAAGATCTCGACTTGATTCTAGATTTATTTCTATGTAATCGAACTAGAGATTATGAAGCCAACTGATGAGACTCTTAGCCGAGTCGAAATACGTGTCTTGGTAGCATGATAACGCAAGACCCCATGTTGCAAAGTCGACCTGCGAAAAATTATTGGAGCTCGGATGGATTACCATTCCTCATCCACCTTATTCTCCAGACTTGGCTCCAACGGACTACCATTTGTTTCGTTCTCTCTCGCATCATTTGGCTGAGAAAAAATTCGACAACGAGAACGACCTAAAAATGGATATCGCTAAGTTCTTTGATAAAAAATCCAAGGACTTCTACGAACGCGGGATCCTGTCTTTACCAGAACGTTGGCGACAAGTCATAGATACTAGTGGTACATATATAACTGAAAGCTAGTTGTACTTTTGAAGTTCAAAAATAAAATTAAAATTTTTGATAAAAACGCAAAGACTTAGTTGCCAACCTAATATTTTTAAACTCACCCTGGACAATACTTTATGTAACGATTGAAATGCATCGTAAGCAGCCTGGAATTCTATGCGAATTTCGTCATTTCGAAAATTGATTCACGTAGACTATCTTATTCCGAACTTGCTAGACGATGAGTCTCTTAAACAAGGACGAAACGTAGTATAATGCTTCGAATCTACTTTGATGATAAATCTCATTCATTGTCATCTTTTTTAACATTCGCTCGTTGATAATTAGTGTTTGTATCGTTTTCAGTAGTAGATAATAAGGAAACGGATTGTTTATTATGTGGAATAAAAATGAAAACTAGATTATAATGCAGTACTACAAGTGTGAAAATGGTGATACAGTTAGAAATAATCAAATCTTTACGGCATGATTTGTCTTTTCAATGACGAAGAGGATCAGTTGCCCAAGTTGCATGACGATTGCAATCATAAATAACGAGATTACCATCATCTTGCATAACTAATTGATATGGTTTAGTTCCTTTATAATATGTATTAGATGACCATGTTGGCTTTCCACATGTTTCGTATATAACCAAATTACCATCGTCTTGCATAGTTACACGAAAGGGACCTTGACCTTTCCCATTTGTATTAGAAGCCCAAAGTGGCTTTCGAGAAGGTGTTGAATAAAGTACAAAATTGCCATCATCTTGCATCACGGCATGATAAGCACCATTCGGAGAACTAATTTGATTGGGCGAATGTAAACTCGCATCATTGCCAAGACATGACATTATATTTTTTTTGCAATTAAGTAAAATAAAACAATTGATAGCTGTTCTACACTCTAAAAAAATAACACATTTTCTATTCTCCAGAAGCATTAAAGCTTTTTCTGCGAGCACACGGGAAGAATCTTTTGATAAAAAATTTTTTTCGCTAGCAAACTTTAAAAAAAGCTTCTGTAGAAGAATACTATTCTTTTTCAGGTAATTCCATCCAATATCGGAACCTATAGGATCCGTTTCGATCTGAAATAGACTTTTTGAGGATCATACTTACTTGAATACAAAGAGTCGATGTTGACAAGGATTGATTCAAGCTGAAGCTATTGTACTCAAGTAAAGATTCTTTGACGGTAACTACCGGTTTTTATAGTCTATGCGCCTTAATAAACAAAATAAGTGGATTATTGAAACAAGAGGCAAAGATCGAAAGAGAAAAGGTACTGGAAAAAACGAAATATCTCAGCTGTTTACGTTCGTCCTGTGAGACGTAAAATATTTTTTGTTTGTTTTTTACATATACAACTTCTTTTACTGTTGAAAGCAATCAGTGAAAATGTAGGAACAAAGAATACTGTGTTTTTCGTCGTCGTACACTTCGTCAACAGAACATTTCGGCGACATATACTTCGTCAACAGAACATTTCGGCGACGATCTTGACAGTGAGAATATAGCTCAGACTATGAGAAAAACATTCTCATCGTCACTTCTATGGTTTTACCCAAGTCCGATTCTTATCTAAAATCTTAAGCTGTATCATTCCAGATATAAAGTATTTGTTTTGACTTTGATCTTTCTAAAGTTAAATTCAAGTTTCGAGTATTACATTTATTCTCTTGCAACGAATAGAACTTTTGAGATGTTTCTAGAATTTTCAAATCGTGCGATCAGCTAATTTTCGCTTGCATATATCACTGAATAAGACAATAGGGAAGATTGAGATCTCGATTAAACGTGAGCCTCACCGAACATATGCTCGAGACTCTTAGTCTGAGCTCGTTCTCTACTCATACCGTCAATGAGACTTATTGTGTTATATTTATGTTATTCACAAAACAGTTTCAATAAATCTCTCTCTCAGGTTCTCACCATCAAGAGTGCATCCACACAATGAATCCTTGATCATCTCTGTTCATTGCAAATTACACAAGAGATAGTTGTGTATTTTGTACAAGAATTCCTTATTTAATTGTAATGACGTATTAAAATAATTCTCTTATTTTATTGAAAAGTTATTCAATCGGAAATAAACCAAAGTCTCATTCTTTTTCCATCCTGACAAGCTGAAGGTAAAGTTATAAAGTTCTTTAGATATTTCTTCGAGATATATTCATCGTTAATCGAATAAATAACGCTCGTCGAGGGAGACTCGCATTACCCTCGACTGATTGGGTTATACTTCAGATAAAACTTGCCCTTCCAAATGATGTCTCGAGAACGGTCCTCGTCAATTTCAACCTTTTGCAAAACTAACCAAAGAATTGTCATCGTTCTTCTTATTTATGTAATGTCCATTATTCATGATCATTTTTCACACATGAAACAGCAGTCCGCTAAGAATAGCTACTATGATCCTTGCGTCCTTTAGTAATGCGAAACTCGAAATTTCGGCTCAACGATTCAACTATTTTTGCAGTCTTTTTTCAATTATTTGAATATTCGACTGCTTTCAAAACTCTTCTATTCATCCTCACTGAAATGATGTCCCTTCAGAACCCTTTTACTCACTCGCAAGTATATGAATACTTGAATAATTGAACGGAAGGATAGACTGTTGAATTTAAGTTTCAAGCTATAGATATTTGGTATTATGACTATATATGACTGTATACTTTTCCTCTTCATATACAACAATTATCTGCTTTCTTCCTTCCTATATGAACTTCGACATTAGCTTCTTAATCCATATACCCAACATAGAGACATTGATAGATTTTTCTCTTCTTCTTATTATATACCATTCATATAATATTGATATCAGAAACGCACTCTTATGTACGACTGTTTCTGCTCTCTGTGTTTTGAAAAGACTATGACCGCATGATCATCTGGCTCATCAACTCATTGTATGATAGCGATAGATCTTAGATATTATTTACAAAGCTTGATATTTTTCTGTAGCGTGATGCTGTATGTACTGAGAACTATGAAAGGACGAGGAACATACAGTAGAGATTCGATTTGTTTCGATTCAATACAGGATACACTTATCATATATTATCTCTTGTATTATAGATTTCGTTGATTCTAATATAAGATAATCTATTAAATGTGCATTTTGTAGAGAATCTTTTTCTCTATCAAACTGTATAGGTTAGATCATAATAGAACACGTTCTCTTCAGCTAATTCAGCAAAATGATCGGATGAATTTCGCTTCTGCACAGCTCGCTCAAAGCTAACCCTTTGGTTTCTTTTTGACACTGGTCTAAAAGAAAGTTTTATGGTATCGTTGAAAGCCTACAGCTTGGAAGAGGAAACGGTTCTCTATAAAATACACATTTAACAGATTATCTCACATTCTAAACAATAAAATGGTACAGAAATTTTCGGTCGCGTTGTCGCACCATACCTTATACGTGTTCTCCCTTTCCTAATAAAATGAAGAGTTAAGTGAAGAGAGATGAGTGTTCATGTAAATTTCAAATCCAAAGGTGTCAAAATGTTTCTACGTATGAACTAGAAAACGTCACCGGGAGCAGCTCCGCACACTTCCCATTTTCCAGTCTAACTATCCAACTTATTTAAACAATGCCTGCTTCAACAATTTCCAACAAATGATCAATAACTAGAGACGTTGTCATATCAAAATCTCGTTCATTTAGTCTATGAGCATTACTTTTCTTCTCTGAATTATTATACTTGAGTGTGAGACACATCCTCCTCTGGTGTTCAATTTGTGATTCGGTACGCTAGCAAAAACGAATACTAACAATAATTTATGGGTAGATCCATGGGGTCCCTACCCAGGTCAACAAATCCAATGCTGGATCCGATCGGATTCCTGGAAACGGAATTGCATTGGAATCCGACTAGAAAAATCCCGTCGGTTGTTGCAAATTTTATGAGCGATCTTTCTAGCTATATTCTATGATGGCCCTTAGAAAATCCAGGAAATCCATGTTTCGGATCCGACGAGATCCGACGTGGGATCCGATCGGATCCGAGACCGTCGAATTCCTGTAGGATCCGATAAAATTCCGTATTGGATCCGAGTATGGGATTGTTCGACCTGGGTGTTGGACAAATGTACGGAAGTGATGAACCATTGGAAAATTATGCTTATGATTATATTGAAACACAAATTTTGAAGTCAATTCATTTGCCCAACTACGATTCACCTCCAGATAACAAATGGTCTCAAATATCGTCGTCTACATTTCGTTCATCAACAATGGAAATTATCGAGCGCAATTTAAATATTTATCCTAATAGGTACAATTTCAAACGGCGAACAAGTGATAATCTAAATGTATTTGATTTGTTATCTTCGAGTCAAACAGAAAATGATCGAAATCTTCGCTTTTATCATGGTACAGATATGGTATCTGTTGAAACTATTTGTCGGTATGGTATTAATTTACATACATCACATCGTCTTGGATCCGATTTTGGTCCTGGTTTTTACGTGACGGACAGCTTTGATGGTAACCGTCTTGAATTTCTTCAAATATTTATGAATAAATTCTTTTTATTTATTTTTTAGATGCTCTATACTTTGCAGCCAGTAAAGGTACACGTAATAAAACACATGGTGGTGTTATATGCTTCCAACTACGTGAAACAGAATTTCATGTATTTAATATTCAAGAATTAAGTGAAACAATTGACTCTATGAATCCTCTCAAATGGAGTAATTTCGTCAAATTATGCCGCCGTCGCTTCATTGAATATCCACATGTATTTCGACGTGATGCATTTCATGGTGCCATTTGTAATAACGCAGAAAAAGTTCGTCAATTAGAAAATGAACAACCACAGGCAAAAACCATTGCAAATAGGACACCAACTCAATTGTGTATTAAAAGTACCAACATGGCGTCTAAATTTGAATATTCAATCTTGGGAATATATATGATTGGTGTATCAACAACATGAGACTTTTCTTTGTCCTTTTTTATATCTTTTTTTTTTCACTGTAGTTTATTCAAACTTATAAAAGCTTAAATATGATTCGTTGCAACTATTCTTTGTGTTTGATCTAAAAAGAACAAGTAAATTTAATTTCATTCCTTTTTTGCAATTGTTCTTGATGACATAAATCAAGAACTGATTTAAGAAAAAGATCTATTAAAAGCCGAAATGAAATCAAACTAATGAAGGAACCGTCGCAGGTGATTTAGCCCATTAGACATCACTTTTTCACGGTTGATGTAAGTGGACGGGTCTAGGANTATGGATGTTTGGTGAGAATCTTAACTGGGAAGTCGATTTTACAATCGACTGTAGATATCGTTTCGCAATTTTTTTTTGAAATAGAAATTGTGTTTCGCAGTCACAAAGGAGATGTGATGCTCAGAAATTATGTTGTCAGACAGACAAAGGCTCATGGGTATGTTGTTAGATTTGGTCGACATCGGTATATGTGCAGGGGAGGTGAGGATTTGATGGTAAAGTCGAATTTTGTTCTTTATTGGAAGGATTGAAGTGGCAGGTTTCTATATATAAGGGGAATACAGTTTTGATATCGAGCCTCATGATTTTGGCTATTACATGGTTTGTGAAGTGAAAGAAGCTTCATTTCAACGTTGAATAAGAATTTGCTGTGCTGATGGAATCGGGTAGCGGGGAACTGGAAGGATCGGTGTTTTTACTCTGTGGATAGGAATGAATATTTACTTTTCATGGTGTATATGTATGAATCGGCTTGTGTGTTGTCGAATTGCATGTACTTTGAGATTTGAAGAAGTTTTGACTTTTCCCAAATATCTTGCGGGTATTTTTTGGATGCAGTAGCCTTTGTCTAAGGTGGTGTGGTAGAAACGATGAGTGACCGTTTGGTTCCATGCGAATCAAGATCTGCGCTATTTCTCATGCATTTGTGTGAGATGGTGCCCGGCATAGTGGGCAGTGGTTGTATAGGATAGAGTTTTTCTTGAATATATAGATATTACTCGTTTTGACTGTTGAGCGATTGGAACTGCGGAGACCTGCGGGTGTGATCCGGAATGGTCTTAAAGAGTTCTCTGAGCGATAGTCGAGATTTTGTTTGCAGCAGCAATTCTGGTGCAGGTATATATAGTCGTTTTCAGTACATGCCATTAGCATGGGTATCCGGTGACAAATACGAAATATCTATGGCGAACGCATGACATACGGAGAAATTCTACCGGGTAGAAAAAGCAACATGCTCAAAATTTCGACACTTGCGCTCCTTATCGTTCCGGTTTTCCGTTGCACAATACGGTCACTTCGGTTGCAGTTTTATACGCAAAGACGGCGCCCAATCTGATTTCTGTAATAGGAGTTTGATTAATTTCTTTTTACTCTGATATTTATTCTCCATTCCAGTCGTTCATTTATAGATTCCATTGCCACTTTGACACGTCAACCTGTAGATTATATCTTCTCATTCACCCTTCCTTTCACTCTGATCCCCCATCGAGGTTGATTTCAATCTTTTCAAAGCCTGCATCGCTACTGATTGACTCCATCGATTCCCTGTAGCCACTGCAGCGCCCATAAATGTATACCACGCGTCGAGTGTTCTCCGCGAGCGCTCAGACGACCTACGGCCGCCTTTGCTATCAGAGTTAATCTCGATGCTTTCCTCAACGAACATCCACCATCAACAGCCCTCCCAAACCATGTTTTATCAACTTTTGAGCGTTTTTGGAGAAAATGGTTTTTTGACCTTTGACCTTTGACCCTTGACTT